ATTTTCTAGTTTTTTATCTGTAACACTGCCTAGAGTCACTTGTATAGTGAGATGGGTGGCATATATAAATTTGAAAAATAAATAAATTGCCAAGAAGAAGAGAGGCCAAAGTCAAGAAAGATAAAAATCTCAGGAAGAACTTAACAAAGAGTTTGAGAATGCTCTTAGAAAAGATAAGCAATATTACAACATCTGTAAAGACACTGAAGATGGAAACAGACATGGAACAAACAAGGAAAGTCTTTCAAAAGATACCTGAACTCAGAAGGAGGTTCCAACCTCAAATTGGTATGCTAAAAGACACCAATGGACAGATAGGACGTGATTCAAAGAAGATCAAAGAAAGATGGAGTATACTGAAATGTAGAGATGTAGGGATCCAAGTAGAGATCTAAGATACCTTAGAAGATACTCCCTACTTAAAAAAAATTCTAGTACTAGAAGATTAAGTTAGTTCACACTCTGATCATAACCAAGTGGGGAGGCTACAAGAACTTTTACAACATCCACACAAATATGGCAAGCACCGAAGGTTCTTACCACACAAAGGTTCTTACCAAGCTATGCCAGCAAATCTAGAGAATGACAGTGGCCAGCAGACTGGAAGGGGTCAATTTACATTCCAATATCAAAGAAGAGACTTAACAGAGTGTGCAAACTATTGTACAGTATCCTTAATTTCATATACTAGCAAAATAACACTTAGGATCATCCAACGCAGATTAGATCCCTACATGGAAAAAGAGATGCCAGATGTTCAAGCTGGCTTTCGAAAAGGCCGAGGAGCATGAAAAATTATTGCTAATACATCCTGGATAATTGAGAAAGCCAAAGAATGCCAAAAGGAAGTCACTATGTGCTTCGTTGATTATAGACATTCCTTTGATTGTGTCGATCACATCAAACTCTGGAAAGTGCTCAGAAAAATGGGAATCCCAGAACATCTCATTGTCCTCATGAGAAACTCATATACAGGTCAGGAAGCCACAGGACGGATAGAACATGGAGAAACAGACTGGCTCCAGATTGGCAAATGAGTGAGACAAGGCTGCGTACTCTCCCCTGATTTATTCAACCTGTAATATATTAAGGGAAGCTGGATTGGAAGAAGATGAGTGTGGTTTTAAAATTGGAGGAAGAAACATCAATCACCTGTGAAGGGTTGATAACACTGCTCTGATAGCTGAAAATGCAATTGATCTACAAGCTGTAGTAATGAAAGTCAAGAAACACAGTGAAAAAACGGGACTAAGATTAAAGAACAGCAAACTAAGAACAATTAGAACCACCAGACCTAGAATTGGCAGTGAAGATCTCAAAGTGATGAATAGCTTCTGTCTTTTAGAATCAACCATTAACAGTAAAGGAACAGGCAGTCAAAAAATAGGCCACAGACTAGCAGTTGGTAGAGCAGCCATGAAGGCCTTGGAGAAAAGATTCAGATGCTGGGATGGCTCCTATATCTACAAAGATCAGAACTGTGCAGACAATGTTTTTTTCTGTAACTTTCTATGGAAGCGAAAGTTGGACTTTGAAGAAGCAAGAAAAATGCTTTCTTATGCTTTTGAACTTTGGTGTTGGCGAAGATTTCTAAGAATACCCTGGATAGCCAAGAAAAGAAACAAATGGATCACAGAACAAATCAACTGTTGATGTTGTGCTCACTCGAGGCACAAATAACCAGGTTCAAATTATCATACTTTGGACACCTCATGTGAAGATCTAGCTCTCTGAAGAAGGCTGTAATGCTGAGAAAGGTGGAAGGAAAAAGAGGATGACCAGCAGCAAGGGGGACGGTCTTGCTTATAGCAGCAGTGGGTGCATTGTTGGGAGACCTGAAGGGCCAACCTGGGGACAGATCCTCCTGGAGAAGGTCCATCTGTAGGGTCTCTAACAGTTGACCCATTCTTTGTGTGAGATGGGTGGCTATATAAAGATAGATAGATAGATAGATAGATAGATAGATAGATAGATAGATAGAT